CAAAAAGTAGTTTAATAAAATTTTGAATGTAAGACACTAAAACCTTGTGTCATGCGCTCTAAAGGGTATCCGGAGCGATAGGGTTAAAATGCAGTACTGTATTATTTCACTTAGCATTTTCATTTACAGGTGCAGGATATCACATGTGAATGTTATTATGTTTATGATTTTATATTTTTAGTTCATATACAATACTTTAAAGGTAGGGCTTTTCTTTTTTTACGTGTAAAAAAATCATATATAAGCATTTATCAGAGACTTAACATGGCTATGTTCTTTTATCCCTATTAATCCTACAAGGTATTGAGTTCCTCCAACACAGATTGCTCAAGGAATGTATCCCCCATGTTGGAGGAAGTCCCACTGTATAATATTAAAATTTCAATTATAAACTACATTTTGATGCTAATTTCATTGACATAAGTAGTAATAGTTATTTAATAAAATTTTTAAAACAACTCTCCGAAACATCATGACATACACTTTAATCTGCCCAGGGTGAAAGGGTTAATTGTGTTTGATGTTAGAATACTGAACTCTGAGGCCTGAATAATTTTCCGTGGTAATTAATACAGTACTCACTCTTCTTAATTTTTCAATTAGTTCCTGCTCTTCTCTTGCTTTTTCCAATTCTCTTCTATAGGTAAAATTAGGGTTAATGGCTTGAATTGGTTGATCTGGGGGTGTTTTAAAACCTAGAAATAAATCAAGTCCATAAAATTATACCATATTAATATATTTTTTATCAGTTTCAGAATATAACTTTGCATCTTTCCTCTACTTGGCATCCAGTAATCATTCAACTACCTTATAAATACAAACAACCACTTCCCTCTAAATGCCAACAGGAATGTTTAGCATACTGAAATCATTTTAGAAATAAAAACAAAAAAGGATTAAAATTATCTTTGATGGAGTAAAATGTTTCTGCAACAGGTTTGACAGGTTGTTTAGGCAAAGTATTCATGATGAAATTTAGTTGAATGGATGGTAAATACCTGTTGTAGAAACACAAGTGTAGAGGATGATGTTTTTAAAGTTTTCCACCTTTCTTCTTCAGGTTCTGAAGACAATAGGTGGAAGACTTTCTTATAATTTACTGCACATAGCAACAAAGTTTTGTCATTTAATATATTTTTTTATTTCTGTTATTTCCATAAATTTGTTATAATAGCAGAAACGCTGCCCTACAGGTGGCTGTTTGTGTTAGTAATTACTAATTGTAGTATTCATACCTCATTGAAAAAGTTTTAGAAAAGTGAACATTTTCTAAGAAAGGATTTTTCTGTGAAGTAATACACAGGAAAAGTGTTCAGATTGTTCTGATATAAACTGTAATGTTATTATTTATTAAAAATTGTACCCTTTATTGAAAACATACGTTTTTTTTAAGAACTTAATTTTTTTAGTACTATATTTACAAATTACATCAATAAAGATATAATCAAACCCTCACATACAGTCCTAGTGAGAGTCGTGTTCTCATTGCGAGGAGAGTACTTTAATGTACAATTGTGTTTTGTGATAAAGATATGGTTGTTGCATATCGTAGTTATTTTTGTAATTGTCTGAACCTTTAATACCCAAGGTGTGAAATTTTTTTATGGATTTTTGTTTGTGGTGTCATTCAATAGATGGTGCAACATTATATTTATTATTTCGATCACGTACGCGCTACGTCCATTATAGTAAGATAACACATCTTTCTCTGATAACACAGGCCTGCAAATTTAAACTTCATAAAAATTGTTTTGGTTTTAATAAAAGATTTTCCATAATTTAGCTATGCAGATTTCAAAAATAATATTCTTTTTTTTTTCTAACACATAAGGATTTTTTAGAAATTTGGAAGGAAAAAAAACTTACTTAGATCAAATTATTATTTCGTTTACCACAATGAACATTTTATATTATTATGTTTGTTAACAAAAATACAAACAAACTGAAGAAAAAGGAAGATTTTTTTTTGTGAAATCTACATGTTGTGGTCTTTCTTTTTTGTTTTGCGTTAAGTTGTTTTGTGAAAAATTTGTATGTGGAATTACTGTAGAACATGTAAAAATTTGAAGACAATAAAACCATCACAGGCCTGTGTAATAATTTTATAGTGTTTTCACCCATTAAACATATAGGTTGTTGTTCAAAAACTGAACTTAAACTAATAAATCAAACTATTAACACCAACCAGATTGGGGCCAAGAAGGCAGAACTGTTCCATTAAACCCTAGCTTTGTTGGTGTACAGGGTAAAGATAAATTAACATCTACTTCAAATACATCAGAAGCATCTGCCACAGGGCTCGTGCGTTGCTGAAAATTTAAGAAGAAAAATTAATTAATAAATTATTCAAATATTACTTACTTATATTTCAGTACCACCAGCAATACAGAATCAATTAAAACTGAAAAGCAAATTACAAAAACATCTTTATTCTAATATAACAAAAGGAAACATTTTAGTTTTGTAATGCTAAAGTAAGCTAAAAGTTTTGTTTTAGTTACAAACATGATTAAGAACAAACACAAAAAATATTTATTATATAATAGTAAGACATTATTTACTTAAAATTTACCCCTGCAAATTAATGTCCTAAATTCCACTAAAAATTAGATTTTGGTTTCTCTTAAATCTTTTGCTTGCCAAATATTAAGTCCATTTTTTACTGATAAAGTTGCTTTTGGTAAATTAAATTTTCTGAAAGTATCAAACCATTATTAGTAATGTTTGTGCTTTCTAAATATAAAAAAAACCCATAAATTATGTACTCCTTCTATATACCAAGTCAAAGTAGTTAAACCTTTTGTCAATTTGTAAAACAGTCACACAATAAATAGTGCTGATTCATAACAAAGAATTAAGGTATTTGTTTTTCAAATATTTTTTTGGAACTATATGTCCCCATTTTACTTGACATCTTTTAAAAAGTCTTGAAAGATGTTAAAAATTCTATAGTAATAGAAAAAAATGTTCAAAGTAAAAAATAAACAAAATATCAGCTTACAACTACAGACAATGATCTATCTAATAACATATACAGATATGAAAACACTTTTGAATGCTATGTGTATAATTTGATAAATTGCTCAGACACTAAAAAAATATATAGCATAACACAGCGCTCAAACATAAAATATAAAGCTAAACATTGGTTCAATTTTCTATACATAAGGAAAAGCTATAAATGTTTTTCATTAATGGTTTTGCTTTAATTTTGGCCATCCATTCTTTAAGGAATGACACTGTATAACTTGGATTAAATGTTAAATCATTTAAAGTGTTCCAAAGTTAGAAACAATATATTTAATACATGAAGTGTGCAACATAGTGATAAAAAGATATATTATATAAACAAAATGTACACATGGGAAGAGGATGACAACTATGAAAGGAATGAAATAAAATATAAAGGCATATCACAGAATAAAATAAATATACGTGTTCAATGAATTGATCAACTTATTGCTGATAAAAAAATTCAAAAGATGTTACAACAAATAAAAAAAGAGAGAAATAAGATTTATGTAAATAATAAATGAAAACAGATCAAACAAGTTAATCAAATTTTGTTTAAAAAACGTTTATATTGGTTGAATAAAAAGAATGTACCTTTACATAAGACATCACAGCTTGCTTTTGTATTTGTTTACGTTTGTTCCTTTCTTCTTCTAAATGCTGTTGAGCTAATATTGCTTCATATCTTTGTTGGTTCATTAATGCCTCGTGTTTTGCCCTAAATTCCTTTTCCTATGTAACAACATACAGAAATAAATTTATGCAACTTTACTTGAATATGTATGTGGGTATGCTAATGATCTAGTTGCTATTTCTCTATAGATTAGTACAAGTCTACTTGTCTTAAACTTGTAATAGATTAATCACTTAAATCACTTAGTAATCTAGGTATCAAGTTATTTAAAGCAGCTGGATAACATATCAGACTGAGAAAGGGTAAGAATTTTATGGTGATCTAGGTAAATGACAATTCTTTTAAAAATTAGAACTTCTCATCTCACAAGGACTACATCTGAAAACTTCTCCAGGTTCTGATTTTTGAATGATTCAGGGAAATAATCAAAATTTTCTAAAATTAGGTAGTTTAAGTAGTGGTGTACAATATTTCATCACCAGCTATAATGAAGCCTAAAATATCCTGTTTTCAACTATTTAACATCATCAGTCAACTGATCCCACAAGTGTACCAAAGGATTCTTTTGAGTGAAATTTCGAAGCTTATTCAAAATTTGTAGAGTTAAGTTTTGTATGTTTATAATACAAAAACATGATACATAATTAACATAATATAACTCTAAAATGTCCAATTGCAGTGATCTGAAACACCAGTTGAAACAATTAGTTGAAATAGTTTTAAATCTTCAATTGTAGCTTCTTCAAATAAAATATATATTTTTATAAATTCACAAACTGCTCCACAGAAAAATTTTTTTCTTATATTATTACAACATCACAATGTAAATAAAGTATAAAATGATAAAGCACATTAAAAAAAGACACGTAATTATGATGGAAGTCATTCAGAATTTTTTTTTCTTATAGCAACATATCATTAAATTAAGATTTAGTCAAAATCAAACAAGTCTTTTATTCAACTCTGAAGTTTGTTTTTTACTAAGTATAATGATTACAAAGTTTATTTTTTATCATTCTTTCATTAAATGGTGCAAATAAAAGCAACTTTGCTCCTTGGGTGAGATGCACTCATCTTGGCATGATAGAATTACACAAAATCAAATTCCTAGTTTTTCACTGGCTTAAATGGTTATATTGTGACTATTTGTTCACTAAATCTTTTTATCAATACGAACATCAATTTTATACAGTAGTGTTCCTTGTTAGCCTTGTACACAAAGCATACTTTTAGCAGACCTTAATTAAATGTGTAGATGATAAAGTTATCTATTTGACTTCATATTAATTGATCCTTTCTTAAACTAATAGTAGTTGAATAACTTACATTTTACTGTAACCTAAAGAATCTGATGAAAACTTTGATAAAAGGACATGAGAACATTTATATATATATTCTAGCTTAAGATGATACTTACTAAGGGTATATTTGTTCCATTCAAACTCAGGATTTGGTCACTGACTGAAAAAAAATTACCATTTCACAATCTGAGAATGTCAAAATTATCAAATTCTAAAATGAAATGTTATTTTGATGTTTGTGCAAATTATTTTACTCCAAGCTGAGAGGTTGTAGTCAAGACTGGGTGAGTGAGACCAAGATTGAGATCAACACATTTTTTATGTGACCAACCCTATAATCAAAATAAAATTTTTATTATTATTATTGTTGTTGCTCTTGTTCTTATTCAAAACTTGATCTTGATCTCAACAGACTAGGCCTCAGTCTTGACCCACTTGGTCTTGACTATGTCTCTGGCTCCAAGTATAATTCACACACACCAAAATAACATTTCATTTTGGTCTTTTTTTATTTTATATGCTGAAATTATAAAATGTTACTTTTTTTTGGTCAATGACCAAATCCTGAGATTGAGCATAATATATATATATATAACTTAAACTTCATATTAACTCAGCAGAACAATGTTTTGAGAAATTCACATTGTCTAAAATACCTTGAAAATTGTTTTGTTATACTTTAACCTGGTTTTAATGATACAAATATTCAGGACAGGTTCTCTTAAAATGGTAAGCAAAAATAACTGGCACTTAATTATATAATAAAAAAGTATTTGTAATTCTACCTACTGGACTTAACTGGATGGACTTGGGTGTTTCAGTAACAAAACAGTGGTAATTAAGCATCATCTCTGACTTAGTTTCAGGTGGGGAGTTACCATTACAGCTGAAAGTGTAAAACAATTATATTAATCAACAATGAAGACAATCAAGAATTTTGTTTTTTGAAAGTAAATTAACACTTTCATTATGAGCATCTTTTTCTGTGCATATCATGAGGTTTTAGTGAGTTAGATTCAAAGTTTAATTAAAGCACTTTATTATCATGGTACACAAATACAATTGGCATAAAAACATAGCTAATAATCCAAATGTTAATACTATATAAGTTTTAAGTCCTTAATTTTAAAAGGCAATAGTAAAAAAAAAAATCAATTTCCTTTTGTATGAGAATTGACATTTACTCTCTAGGTATCTCCTCTTCTCTAATTTATTTACCACTCCTCTGTGAAATAAGAAATTTAACATAAATTACCCATTATACTATTGTCATTGCTCAAGCAAAACATAAATTTCATAGCCTTCAATCCTATTTAGTTACAGAGCC